ATCTACAGAACAAACCATCGTTATACAATAACTAGCCTAATTACCCTAACCTGCCCAGTTAACCTAATTAACCTAGTTAAGCCTTTAAATGTCACTTTAAGCTGAATACTAGTGTCTTGAAAAATATCTAGTCAAATATTATTTACTGTCATCATGTCACAGATAAAATAAATCAGTTATTAGAAATACATTTTTAAAACTATTATGCTTAGAAATGTGCTAAAACAATCTTCTCTCCATTAAACAGAAATTGGTGAAAAAAATAAACAGACGCACTAATAATTCAGGGGGGCTAATGATTCTGACTTCAACTGTGTGTGTGTGTATATATATACATAAATATATGATATATATATATATATATATTTATTTGTTTTCCAAATTTTAGGACCTTTCAAAGATCATTTGGCATATAATATTGTCATATGTAAAATTTCATAGTATGTCCTAACTTTTTCTCATGACTGCATGTAAAAAGAAATGCGTCTTGGTGGGATTGGATTTTTAAGATTTAGTTAAATGATGACCCTGACATGCACAGGTAATTTGCCAGATTCATCACAGATCAGTTAATCAGTGTTTGAACATGCGTTTTACCCACAGTGTCTCTGAGCTGCCGCCGGTCTCCTTCTATCTGGTGCGTCTGATCTCTAAAACTCCCTGTATGGTGCTGCGATTGGGCTTCCCGATAGGGACTCTGGCTCACACCAGGAACAAGGTGAGGTGAACATTAAATGAGCAGCATTGTGGGCTGTGCAATAATGAAGACAATAGCATTATATGATAGCATGCTAAATAATGTGATATTCAATGTCAGGGCTGCATGATGCTGGAAAAAGCTGCAATGTGTAATATTGTTGTTGAGTATTGAGATAATGGTATTACTCTTACCAAATAACATTAGCCTAGAAAAATTATATTTATACTTTATATTAGCTCTGTTTTAAAATCAATCATCTATGTAATAATATTAAAATAAAGAGATCAAAGATATTTATATTATATAAAGATATTAAGGCCCCATCTGAGTGGTCACATTTAGATAAACGTCCAATGCATAAATTTAATGTAATTTATTACACATCTGCTATTATAATGATCATTTTGTGATATATTGTGCAGCTTTTTGAATATGCAATATATTAAAAAAAAGTTTTAGCCAATATGTGTTTCATACTTTTTAAGCCTTAAAAATATGAAACAAATAGTTTTATCAACCTTAAAACATCAAGACAAATTAAGAAAAAAAAACTCTTGAGTAAAGTTACATCTTAACATGGCTTTACTGCTCAGACAAACAGTATTTCAGCTTCCATACCAAACTGTTTCAGATTCTCGGACGATAAAACCAGAATGCCCACTTAGCTTGTTTTCAGGGATGCTCATCCACATGCTGGTTTCCTTGTTAAAATCTGGCCAATTTATTGAAAACCATTTTGCTGTTGTGATACATTGATCATTTAGATATATATACAGTGTTTGTGTTTCTTGTGTGTAGATTGTGGATGAACTTCGAGAGCAGATCCTTCGGCTGCGGTTTCCTCATCGGGTCCAGAATAAAGAGGCGACGCCGAAAACCAAACGGAAAATTCTGGGGCATTCATCGCCCTCTAAATCCCCACCTCTGCCTGCTCCAAAACCAGCACTGTCTGATCGGCGGTGTGTGGTGGTGCTCAACAAACCTCTGGAAAAACTGCTCATCAGGTCAGTGACGGAAACCTAAAAGATGACTGTGGTGATTCATTTTTGAGCATGTACAGAAGGGGTGACAGCAGACAATGTGAAGATAAAATGAATCTTATTATGAACATGTTGGTATGAAGGAAACATTTCTGAAACCTTTTATTCTTATAGTTTATCTCTAAGCAGTGTTCACACACTTCTTGAAAATACTTGAGTTTCAGACTGGAAAGCACTCAAAAACAAACAGGTCCTTGAAAATGCTTGAATTAAATTTGAAATCAAATTTGTTTTTTGTGGCGTCACGATGGCACAGTGGGTGGCATGATCGCCTCACAGCAAGAAGGTCGCTGGTTCGAGTCCCTGCTGGGTCAGTTGGTATTTCTGTGTGGAGTTTGCATGTTCTCCCAGTGTTCGTGGGTTTCTTCCGGGTGCTCTGGTGTCCCCCACAGTCCAAACACATGCACTATTGGTGAATTGAATAAGCTAAATTGGCCATAGAGTGTGTGGGTGTTTCCCAGTGTTGGGTTGCAGCTGGAAGGGAATCAGCTGCATAAAACATATGCTGGATAATTTGGCGGTTCATTCCGCTGTGGCGACCCCTGATTAATGAGGTGACTAAGCTGAAAAGAAAATGAATCAATTCATTTGTTGTTGTTTTTCAACGATCTGTCAAAAAAAGCTGTTTTTATGAAAATGTCCTAAATAAACTTAACATTAAATCCAATTTTTTTTCTTGCTCCATATGCTGTTTAATAAAATGTGTCATATTGATCACATTTGGTTTGTGAACCTTGTTTTCATGTAGACTTTGATCTGTAATTTTAAGTCATTTTGTGGTATTTATAGTAATTCATATTTTTGAATGAGCCTTTTCAGTTGTCTTCATTTTTTACTCTCACTTTAGGAGGTGTAAATGTAATAAATGTTCTAAGATAAAATTCTATTTAGCCTTAAGAAATGATCTCTTGACATTTAAATCCAATAAAAAAAACTTAAAATGCTTCTATAAATTAGTAAGAGTTGTTATTCTTCAGGTAAAATGTCCTTAAAATAATTGAAATAAACCAGATTTATTTTTTTACATGAATTACATTTTTGTAAGTGTTTGTTTACGCTTTTATTGCTGTGTTTGGGATTTATTGCAGTTGAATTAACAATATTTACTCTAACTTTGATTAGCTCTTCCGTAACTCATTTCAGTTTTAGTATTTTAACATAAATGTATTATTTTATGACATTGTTTCCTTATAAAGGATATAAAAAATACTGGGCATATTAAAAAATGGTCATACACTACATAAAATGCTTTTCTTACTTGGAGTTTTTGTCTTGTTTCTAGTCCAAAAACTAAATATTATTAAATAAAGAAGCATTTAGTAGACTAGGCTAGTAAAATAATATTTTTTGTTTTCAGAAATAATAAGTCAAAATGAAGTGAGTTTGTCCTTAAAACAAGCAAAATAATCTGCCAATAAGGCAAGCAAATTAATCTAGTTTTCCCTTTGAAATAAGTTTATTTTGCTCACCTCATTAGCAGATTATTTCACTTGTTTTAAAGAAAAACTCACTTCATTTTGACCCATTATTTCTGAATATTTTTGCGTGTTTAGAAAACGCTTTATTTAGATTTAAAATCATTTTTAAAAAATATTTAGACTAAAAAAAACAAAAGCTTGAAGTAAAAAATATCAACATTTAAATTGATAGTTTATCATTTATTTCTAATATTTAATTAGATTTTTTTTCAATTAACAATGTTTTTTTTGTTTTATTGAAGTTTTGGTTTTAGCGAAGCATAACTACACTCTCTAATCTTCTGAATCTCCTGTCACAGGTACGAGAAGCTCCCGTCTGATTTCCGCACCCCTTTCATCCTGAACATGGAGCCGTTTGCTCAGCCGTCCCTCATGGGCGTCCCTCTCAGTGTGGCCGCCAGCAGAACCGCTTCCTCCACCGTGGCGTCGCTCTCTCGATACTTCCTGCATCAGCGCTGGGTTTGGGCCTTACAGAACGGATCGGGAACTACCGTATCGCTTTACGCTGTTGCTCGTATCCTCTCCATGCTCTCTGAGTGAGTCTAAAACTGAAGAGCAAATCACCGGTGTATAATGCCTCATTTACTCAAATGACCCAGTTCTAAATATTATTCTTATTTTTTGTCCATTGTATTTCGAATCAAATCAAATCAAATCAGGCCTTTATTTGTCACATACACTTTCATATAGTGAAATTGAACCCCCCGACCGTACACAAACATCACAATTTTCAGGGGAAGACAGGTCACAGGAGGTAGCATTCAGAAAAAGGAAGTAAGATACATTTCAGGAGAGGCAGGCGCAAAAAAAACTCCCTCTCACCTTTCTCTTGAATTAGGGCAATGTGAGAACAGGGAGAGAAAAAAGGCCCAGCAATCAGCACATAAACACACAGACAAGACTCAACATTGCCACAGGGAAGGGGAACAGGGGGGTATGGATATAGTCCGATGAGGGCGGGCAGCCATCTGGTCCTGCAGCCATGGGGCGCTGGTCACAGACCCGCATACCCCCTCCAGTGGGTGAAAGCACATAAAGGCGTGGGATGAGGGGATCGGTAGTGATTGTCTATCTGTAGCTGTGTATGTGTGTGTGTGTGTGTGTGTGTGTGTGTGTGTGTGTGTGTGTAAGCTTGTAGAGTCCAACAGGTGTCCTTGACAGGAAGCAGGAATTTCAGAGCGTCTCCTTATCTTGCCATCTGGGAGAAGTTGTTTTTCTCCGGCCAAGGCCGTCTGGCAGGAGAAAAGAAAACACAGGGAGCCGAAAGATAGCAAAAAGATAGAAAGATAGAAGATAGAAAGATAGTAGAAAAGTACTTCAACTTTGGGTCAATGTCTGCCAATTTCACAGATATTTAATCTCCGTCACTTGTCTCCCGATCTGGCCAAATGTTCTTGCAGAGCCGCTAGTTTCACCCTGATGTTTTCCAGTTTGCGGTGTAGGACCATAGTCTGAGCATTAGCGACCCTACCCATCTGCGTTTCAATCAAGCCGGCCAGACTGGTCGGGTTTTGCGCAGCACTGACCGCTTTCATCAATCGTCGATACCCCGCATCAGCAGAAACCCTGTTATTAAAGTTCCGAATAGGTAAATATCTTCAATATCCTCCAGAGACAGAGCAGCCAGGCACAGGACGCGCCACTTCTCATACCCGTCCATCACATATCCAGCTGCAAACGTCCCCGCAGGACAAGTGGGCTCTCCCGAGCTCAAACTTCTCGTCAAGAAGATGGTGTCAATTGCATTCAGAGACCAGTCGATCAAATCCATAATGCCTTATTAATTTGGATAGCAGGACACGGAGAGCCTCAGAGATAGAATAAGATGAAGACAAGAGGAGCTAGCAAGGAGAGATATGGGACGGAGAGGGAAAAAGTGCGACTGGAAAAAAAGTGTGACCGAAAAAAAAAATTTAAATAAAAAAATTCTGTAAATAATATAAAATCATGCGAACCATCTATTTCGAACAAATTGTGCATAATCTACATTGCATGGCCATGGTAAACAGATGCTTATGCGGATGACACACATTGAGCAATGTTTGACGCAATCAAAAGCGAAGGTGATTGGCTACTTTTCTATTAAGAACGTGCAACAACAACAACAATATTGTACCTGTAAGCCATTGCTCTAATTCGTCACCCCGTGTCTCACCTGGTTGCCCATTTATGGCATTATTTCCCAAAGTTGCCCAGAAACATTGCTCAAAAAGTTGCATCAGCAAAAAGGCCCGTGCACACCGAGACGTTTTTTTGCTCACGTTTTCTGTCGACGTTTAACGCCTTTTAACTAAATAAAGGGCGTCAATGTGATTGTGCACACCAACGTGCAAAATGCCAGGTGCAAAAGCGTCATTAAAAAAAAAAAACGCCTCATGCTCATTTTTTTGTTTTGACGCTCGGCGTCAAAACCTTCTCCACCATTCAGATCGGCACTTTTGCTCACCTGCACGAAGCTGCTGAAGTTACTGTAAACAGCACTTGGAGGCGCTCAAGCGCAAAACTGTCAATGCGAGCACACATTGAAGAAGATGCCCAGAGGCGATATGAACGTGGAGCTGCTTATTGCTCTGTGAACAATAATCATTTCTTCATCGCTAGAGCTGGAGCTGCTGCTTGAACCATCTATGCTTGTTCGAGTCACCAGTAACTTTATAAACAAATGTGCAAACTTCCTCTCCTCCTCATTTTCTGTGTTATAACCGGGTGTCAGAAGCTTATAGTTGTGCAGCGCCATCTAACGTCAAAAGAGTGATTTAGCATACTCTTCAGCTTGACGCCAGTGAAAAGCGCTTGGGTTTGAACACTGAAAAACGTCTCGTAAAACGCTGACGAGAAACGCAAACTAAAAACGTCCCGGTGTGTAGGAGCCTTTAGGCTCTTACAATGAAAATCGGCTAAATCAAATTCTACCCAGATTGTAAATGTAACAAAGTTAGATGGCCGCCTGATCATCGGGAAGAAGGAGGCGGAGAACCGTCAAACTTTTAAATCATCATTGATGAGAAAATAAAACACTAGTCTAGAGCAGGGGTGGCCAACGCTGTTCCTGTAGAGCCCCCTTCCTGCAGATTTCAGTCGCTACCCATATCAAACACACCTGCCTGTAATTATCACGTGGTATTCAGGTCCTAATTAATTGGTTCAGGTGTGTTTGATATGGGTAGCGACTGAAATCTGCAGGAAGGGGGCTCTACAGGAACAGCGTTGGCCACCCCTGCTCTAGAGCTCCTCTGTGGGACTCGAGGCCAGTGTGCGGCGCAGGTGCTTCTCATTGTCACTCAAGCCCCGGCCTCATTTTGTTCCCATGGCTCTCAGCCCCGCCCACTCGCCACCACGGTAAACAATTGTGCTATAGTTGTGTAAAGTGTAAATACAGTTATTGCATACAGGTTTTAAAAAGTCTGATCTCTTTTAAAAGGAGTTCCAAAACATCAGTCACAAAATGTTAACTGGACTTCAAGACCTGCAGTGTAAATATGTCCTGAAACTGAAGAGCTAATGGCCTGTGTTAAATCACTTTGGTTTACTGTTTCCTTCTGTTCTTCATGCCATTTGTTTACAGTATTCGTCTGTCTGAAGGCTTTCACTTTGCCTCTAGTGGGGAGGGAATCGTCAACATGGTGACAGAACTGCCAATGCAGGTGAGTGCATGCACACTCTTTACTAGTATTTAGAATTTACAGGGCTCTATTTTGACGGTCCATGCGCAGAGTGCAAACTGCAGGGTGCAAACGCTTTCAGGGCGTGTCAGAATGCATTTTTGCTAACTTAAGGATGGGAAAATCCGCTTTGCGCCATGGCGCATGGGCTAAAAGGGTTGAGTTTATTTTCTTAATGAGTTATAGGTGTGTTATGAGAATAAACCAATTAGAGTCTCATCTCCCATTCCCTTTAAGAGCCAGATGCGCCGCGCCATAAGCGCATTGCTATTAACATGACGTAAAGTAAGTTCACTTTCGCTTTTGCTCTCGTAGATAGGGAAACCTTACCGCACAAACATCAATTAGCCTATAAATAATTAATTTTGTTTATTAAGCGCAAAGATTTGTTTCAAAACTATTTCTAAATTCAGTTCTAATTTCCAGCAAACTAATAAATGATTAATAATAACAGTGTGGTCAAAAACCTGAGTTATATCCTAAAACACCTGCTGTGCCCCATATGGTCTAAAACCTGACAGGTGGACAAATCTAAGCTTGTTTTTAATAAAACAAATATAAATATGGATATAATAAATAATACTGCTAATAATAATAATAACATTATACAGAAGCAAATTGAATGAACTTAAAAAGCCTCCCGAGATGAAGATAGTATGAAGGCAGTGGTTTTTAAATTCATGTTGCCTAGAAATGAATATGTTTTGTAATATTTTAATCATTTATATTTATATCCTATATATATCCTTATTATATATATATATCCTTAATATATTATATCTTTTTCATATGTAAAGATATTTGCGTATTGCTCTACATCTTGTGTGTAGTGTGTAAGCCAGGTGCACTCTGCGCCAGACAATAGACCGACTTTGTTCTGGTCTTAAGAACAGACTATTTACAGTTTCTCAAAATAGCAACGCGCAAAAATACGCCTGCTTTTTTAGACCAGAACACCTATGGGCGCACATATGAGCGCAAATGCATTTGCTGTTGAAACAGCGTGGCGCAACACCTCAAAATGACCCTTGCGCCAAGCTTAAAGTAGCAAAAGACTATTGTGCAGCACCTTGCGCCACATTTTGCCGGGTGTATGATAGGGCCCACAATCTAGTGTTGTTTTTTTTTACCCATGCATCTCTAACTTTTGTCAAAACTGTGTGCGCAGAGTCTGCCAGCAGATTTGGATGGTGAAAAACACACCTGCATAGTCCAGTATATTTTATTTCCACCTCATTCCACTTCTACCAAGGACAGGTAACACTTTAATTACACCTGTGCAAAAAACTCAGTGTCAGTGTGTATTTGCTTTTGAGTATTGCAATTTATGGTTCACATAGTGTGATAAACTGTGACGATGAAGGAAAAGCTGCTCAGTTTTATCCCTGAACTGAGCAGATGCTGATATTTATATGGTCTTAAAGAAAGATACATAGAATGTAAATAATGGAGATTTTTTATAACATTTATAAGACTTCAGCAAATGAATGTACATCTCCAGTAGTATGTCTTTAAATATATATTAAATGCTTATAGTATGATCAGAACTTAAAACTCAATATTAAACGTAGAATGCACTGCAATATGTGTATTGACAGAGGAACAAATAAAGGTTCCTCAATAACATGTCATATTTAATGCTAAAAAATTATATTTGTAATGTTTTAAGGTGAACACTTACTGGACTGGAGCAACTTAAGGTTTATTTGTTTAACATAGCTTATTTTTCTGCCATGGTGTTGACAGTTTCTCCACAGATGATGATAATGACACTGAAGTAGAGGCTATAGACGTGGACACGGAGCTGAGTTTGGTGACCGAGTGCTGGATTGAGCCTCAAAGTGGATCCGTTTGCAGCTCGCTGGACCTGCAGAGACACTTCCACAACCTCACGTATCAGCAGATCCCTCAGGCTGTAAGCGGCACACACTTAACACACAAATGCACTTCAGCTGTATGTGTACATGCTGAATGAAGTAAGAATTGTTAACCCTTCTGTAGTTCTGTGTAATGGAGAGATTTTTGTTCCTGCACATTTCTAAACATAATAGTTTTAATAACTCATCTCTATAACTGATTTGTTTTATCTTCGACATGATGACAGCACATAATATTTGACTGGAAATTTTTCAAGACACTAGCTTAAAGTGACATTTAAAGGGTTAACTAGGTTAATCTGGTTAAGATTATAATTAGGCAAGTCATTGTATAACTGTGTTTTTTTTCTGTAGACAATGGAAAGCAAATATTGCTTAATGGGGCTAATAATATTGACCTTAAATGGCTTTAAAACTGCTTTTATTCTATCCAAAATAAAGCAAATAAGACTTTCTCCAGAAGAAAAAATATTATAGGAAATACTGAGGTAAATTCCTGAATCTGTTAAACATCATTTGGGAAATTCTAGTTTAAATATATTGTTATATTAATGTAGAATTATTCATCTAGTTTTATTTAGCTGCTTGTTTTAGAGATTGCTATGGTTATATATTTTTGTTGAGACATTTTAACGAGAGAGTTTTTTCCTCTATTCCAGGTTTTTCCACGTGATCTGTCATGCATGACGACAATGATCACATTCGAATACCTCATTCAGCTGTGTCAGAATAAAGAGCAGGTGTGTCCGCTAAACTGCGTCAGAGATGCTCCAGGTACAAGTCTCCTCTGTCTTTTCTTTCCTTTTCCACGAACACACACACACACACACACACACACTAGTCTGGATGCTCAGTGTTGTCATTTCTCCTCGTACAGGTGAGATTTTCTCCTCCTCCACCGCTGCTGATGACTGCATACACACTGTGCCTTTACAGTTCGACCTGATGAAACTCCTGCCCAAGTGCCAGCAGATTGAGCTCTTCTTCTACACCTTTAGCCATGGTATGACTCTGTATTCCTTTATTTATTCTGGCATTAAAGGAACACTCTTAATTTCTCTGAAATGTTTTGGAAATTACCATTTTTGAATCCATTCAGCAGATCTCTGTGTCTGGTGGAGCAATTTTAGCTTAAGCATCAGTCATTGAATCACATTAGACCATTAGCATTTGTCAAAAAAAAAAAAAAAAAAAAACATATATATATATATATATATATATATATATATATATATATATATATATATATATATCAATTTAAAGCTTGATTTTTCTAAAGTTACATCATGTAGTAAGACCGATGGAAAATGAAAAGGTGCTATTTTCTGGGTCGATATATTCAGGAACTAAACTCTCATTGTGGAGTAATAATCAAGGAACTTGTCGTAGCATGGCTGCAGCAGGAGCATTGATATTATGAAGTGCCTTCAAATATTTAATTATTGTTTCAGAAACAGAGTAATTTTCCTAGATTTATCAACCTAGAAAATAGCTACTTTTCATTTTCTGTCAGTTTCAGTACATGATGTAATTACAGAAGGGTCAAGCTTTCAATAGGAAAAATTATTTTTGCTAATGGTCTAATTCGATTCAATGATTTATGCTAAGCTATGCTAAAAGAGCCCCACTAGATCCAGAGATTGGCTGAATGGATTCAGAAAAGCTAAAACTCAACTGGTAAATTCTAGGTGACTGGTAAAATTGAAAGTTCTCTTGTAAATCAGTGAACATTAAATCTCATTTCTGTGTGCTGATTTCAGAAAGCCAAGCGGACTCGTCCCGTAATGCCTCGTCTCTGCCCAACGACCTCCTGCTTTCGCTCTTCCACGGGTCTCTGCAGAACGAGCTGAGCGACCGCGAGATCCCACTGACACATGAAGATCACGTCACATTCATGCATCACATCCTTGAGCGGGAAAGAGACGGTCATGTGGCTCCATTCTCACTACCTGTCATTAAAGGTGTGTTTTAGGGCTGCACAGAAATATGCGATAATGTTGTTGAGTATTGTGATGACGATATTTCTTACTATATAACGGTTCCCTAAAAAAAAAGCTATATATATATATGTATATGTATATGTATATGTGTATATACATATATATACAATTCATTTTAATTGTCAAAACATTTCCCAGTATAACACTATTTATTAAATAAATGCAACTACGGTGAGCAGAAGAGCTACTATCAGAAACAAATCCCACCCTCAAACTTAATATATACTTCACTGATAAAGGTAAACTACCACACTTCACGAAGGATTGTGCCTTTTCAAACAGAACACCACAGATCTCCATTGTAAATGCATTGCCGTTTTCTAGATTGTTGCTAATAAAGGTTAACTTTCTATTAACTTTACTGTTTGATGAAACTGATAGCCTCACAGTCAGTGAAGGAGAAATAAAATAGATGATGAAAAGTTGCTAATTGAAGTGGTAGTGGCTGTCAGACATCCCAGATGACCCTTTAACTGATTCATTAGTGACAGAAGGAGTGACTGACCCTGATCTGCTCTCATTATGTTTATCTGTGTGTGTGTTTAGAAGAGAGTTTGAAGCCTCCGGAGAGACAGGACACGGTTCTTTCTTTCCACACTATAGGAAGCAGTAAAGAAGTGACGGGATCTTCCAGTACACTTCAGGTACATCAGCTCATTATACATTTAAACACTGCTGTTCCAATCAGTGCATTTCAGTTTCAAAATGCTTAAGATGACCAATCAAATTAAAGTAGGAGGAGTACGTTTATAAATGTCTTGACAGTCACATTTGATCACTTTAATGCATACCTACTGAATAAAAGCATTCATTTCTTGTGTCTGTGTATCTGTGTCTCTCTTTCTTTCTTTGTGTGTGTGTGTGTGTGTGTGTGTTTCTGGCAGAGTTTCAGTAATGTGGATCTTGCGGATGAAGAGCCAGCTGGAGCGGAGCCGGGCGGTTTATCTCCTCGCTGGAAATGTTACGCCAAATACATCAGCCATCAGCAGATCCTGCTCACGTTCCTGCCAGCCACGTTTACAGGTGCTTCATCTGTCAATACCACACCAATTATTAAAGCTCAATACCATTATCTATCTGCACACAGCAGGAGAGTGATGGCAGTTTAATGCTTTTCATTGAGGCATATACTGCAAACAAGAAACTAACCCCACAGTTTAACCCAGCAGCATTTCTCCAAACTGAAGTTGTAATCTGAGGAATGTTTGGACGGTTTTATTTGGTGTGTCTGTAGTACTTATAAGTTGTACTCTTGAAAGAAATTATATGTATTTCTGATATTGCCACAGACATATCACCCTGCAGCCCAAGACCGGTTACTCACTGAAGCTAAGCAGGGCTGAGCCTGGTTAGTACCTGGATGGGAGACCACTAGGGAACACTAGGTTGCTGTTGGAAGTGGTGTTAGTGAGGCCAGCAGGGGGCGCTCAACCTGAGGTCTATGTGAGTCTTAATGTAGAGGTCTGCAAATTTCCGAATAAATCGCGGGAGCGGTCGGTAACGGGTTTAATTTGGGACGGGAGCGGGCTGTCTTGCAATATCGCGGATATTGCTATGCGAATGAGAGAGAGAGAGCGAGAGCGAGCTTTGCCTGTGTGTGTGCTTGGTGCTTGTGTGTGTGTATGTTAGTGCGCGCGCGCGAATGAGAGAGAGAGAGAGCTTTCCCAGATAGCAAAATACACTCGGGCCAGTTCCGGCTAGATTCTCGCCTGCCAGAGACTTACCACTCAGCCCGGCTCCGGCTGCCAGACTCCGAATGCTTGTGGACTCACTGCCCGATTCCGGCCCGAATCAATCGGGCCAAATGCGGCGGCCGTAAGCAAGCCGACGCTGCCGCATCCGCGAGACCCACCCGAGAGTAATGTGCGCTGCGGCCCGGAGCTGGCGCGACTCACTATTTATATACCTTTATATAAAACCTTTTGGTATTACATTGGTACTTGATACATGGTATTACAAGCCTTTGAGTTGATATAACAGCAAACGCCTGTGTGTCTGCTTGGTGCTTGTGAGTGTGTTAGTGGGCGCGCGCGCGTATGTGAGAGAGATTTGTCTGTGTGTGTGTGCTTGGTGCTGTGTGTGTGTGTTTATACAGACAGCTTGGCTGTCTGGACTGCATAGCTGGGGGATTTTTGGTTTTGTTCTCCCCCGCTCTTTAGCGGGATCGGGCCCGGCGGCCAGAAAACGGGGTGGGTTGGGCAGCGGGACAATAAATTCTTAATATAAGCGGGAGCGGTCGGGTTCGGGCTAAAACCTGGCGGGTGCGGGCGGGAGCGGGATTCAAAATTTAGTCCTTGCAGATCTCTATCTTAATGCCCCAGTAAAAGTGAAGGGGACACTAGACTGTCAGTGGGCGCCGTCTTTCGGATGAGACGTTAAACTGAGGTCCTGACTCTCTGTGGTCATTTAAAATTCCATGGCAGTTCTCGTGAAAGAGCAGGGGTGTAACCCCGGTGTCCTGGCCAAAGTCCCTCTATCGGCCCTTACGATCATGGCCTCCCAATCATCCCCTTCCACCGAATTGGCTCTATCACTGTCTCTCCACTCCACCAATAGCTGGTGTGTGCTGAGCGCACTGGCGCCGTTGTCCTGTGGCTGCCGTCGCATCATCCAAGTGGATGCTGCACACTGGTGGTGGTGTGGAGAGACCCCCCCTCATGATTGTGAAGTGCTTTGGGTGTATGGCCATACACATTAAATGCGCTATATGAATACACAATACATTACATTACATTACATATTCTTTAAACCATGTGCCATAGATGGAAAGTATTTTATAAACAGGGTTCATACGGTCATGGAAAATCTGCAAAAGTCATGGGATTTTAAAATGGCATTTTACAGGCCTGGAAAAGTTTTGGAAAAACAAAAAAAAACTAAAGTTTTGGAAAAGTCCTGGAAATTAGTTGAACAAATGTCTGTATACTTGAATGTAGGTCAGTCGTCTTTACTTCCTTTCTGTCCTCTGCCCAAAAAAACTTGCTCTCACATTAGTAGTGCTTGATCTACATGCATTTTACATAAAATAGATAAAAGGTTTCATGATATGCTGTAATAAATGGAAACATGCATAACTTTGCTTATTATGTACCACGTATACGAAGGCATTACATTAAACATTAGATCATGAAAATTGACTTGAAAGTCTCGGAAAAGTCATGTCATTTCAGCAGTAAAAATGTGTATGAACTCTGTATAAAAGTCTGATCATTCTTCCAATCTTAAAATAAAAATATTGTCATTTAGGTCTCTTTTTTTGTAACGTCTAAAAATATGTCCATTTTATTGTTGTTTTATGCCAAAATTTGTTAAAATCCGGTTTCCCCCACAGTCCAAAGACATGCGGTACTGGTGAATTGGGTAGGCTAAATTGTCCGTAGTGTATGAGTGTGTGTGAATGTGTGTTGCTGTTTCCCAGAGATGGGTTGCAGCTGGAAGGGCTTCTGCTGCGTAAAAACTTGCTGGATAAGTTGGCAGTTCATTCCACTGTGGCGACCCCGGATTAATAAAGGGACTAAGGCAACAAGAAAATGAATGAATGAATGAATGAATATATATAATAAGCACTCATATACAACTACTACTACTAATAATATTTTAAAAAATGCTTTTACATAATATATCATGAATAATATGTATGCAATTTTAAAATTGCGTAAAATTAATAGATTTACTTCTGACTGTTCAGATGTGCAGATTTTGATGTCTTCTGGGCTGGAGACTGAGTCTTCAATCAACAGCAGTGCTCTGGAAGAGGAGGAGACCTGTAATCATGGCAACAGCCAATCACGGGCAGACTCCATCAGCAGCACTGCCAATGGTCCACAGGGTAATGCTGATTTAAAAACGGGTCAACATGAAGACCAACCCGAAGCAGAGCTGGAGACAGAACAGACCAACACTCGTGTTACAGGCATAGTTTTTATAACTCATTTCTTTTGTCTTTACCATGATGACAGTGCATAATATTTCAATTATTTTCCAATATACTAGTCTTCAACTTAAAGTGACATTAAATACTTAACTATGTTTATAAGGTTAATTTGGCAAGTCTTCTGATAACAATGGTTTGGTCTGTAGTCAAAAAACATTTTAGTTCTTAATATAAATTTATATGTATATATATATGTATATATATATGTATGTGTGTATATATATATATATATATATATATATATATATATATA